GATCTCGCGGTCCGTGAGTTCGAGCCCCACGTCGGGCTCTGTGCTGACAGCTCAGAGCCTGGAGCCTGCTTCGGATTCTGTGTGTCCCTCTCTCTCCGCCCCTCCCTTGCTCTCTCTCTTTCAAAATAAATAAACATAAAAGAAAAATACATTCACGTTGTTGTACGACTACCACCCTCCGTCTCCAGAACCCTTCATCCCGCAAAACTGAAACTCTGTCCCCATTAAACGCTACCTCTCCGTTCCCCTCCTCCCAACCCTGGTGATCACCACCTACTTTCTGTCTCTGTGATCTTGACCACGCTAAGTATCTCATGTAATCATATAGTATTTGTCTTTGTTGTGACTGGCTTATTTCACTTAGTACGATGTCCTCAGGGTCCGTCTGTGTTATAGCACCTTTTCAAAGCTGAGTAATATCCCACTGTGCGTCTATACCGCAGGCTGCTTATCTGTCCGTCCATCAGTGGGCGGCTGGGTTGCTTCCATGTTTTAGGTCCTGTGAGTAATGATGCTATGAACATGGGTCTACAGATATCTCCGTAACACCCTGCTTTCAGTCCTTTGAGTCTGTACCCACACGTGGAATTGCTAAATCATGTGATAACTCTATTTTTCATTTTTTGAGAAACTGCCACCAACCACACTGTTTTCCACAGACGCTCTCCCATTTCACATCTTCACCAATAGTACACAGTTCCAATTTCTTCACATCTTCACCAACACTTCTTGTTTTCTGGTTTTTTTTCCCTAATAGTAGCCCTTATAATCGGTGTGAGGAAAATCTCGCTGCACGTTCTTTTTTTATTTTTATTTTTTTTATTTTTGTTTTTGATTTTTTACAATTTACATCCAAATTAGTTAGCCTACAGCGAAACAATGATTTCAGGAGTAGATTCCTTAGTGCCCCTCCCCCATTTAGCCCATCCCCCTCCCACCACCCCTCCCGTAACCCACAGTTTGTTCTCCATATTCAAGAGTCTCTTCTGTTTTGTCCCCCTCCCTGTTTTATATTATTTTTGTTTTCCTTCCCTATGTTCATCTGTTTTGGCTCTTAAAGTCCTCCTATGAGTGAAGTCATATGATTTTTGTCTTTCTCTGACTAATATCACTTAGCATCATACCCTCCAGTTCCATCCACGTAGCTGCAAATGGCAAGATTTCATTCTTTTTGATTGCCGAGTAATACTCCATTGAATATATGTACCACATCTCCTTTATCCATTCATCCATCGATGGACATTTGGGCTCTTTCCATCCTTTGGCTATTGTTGACAGCGCTGCTGTAAACATGGGGGTGCATGTGTCCCTTCGAAACAGCCCACCTGTATCCCGTGGTAGTGTAATTGCTGGGTCCTGGGGTAGTTCCGTTTTTAGTTTTTTGAGGAACCTCCATAGTGTTTTCCAGAGTGGCTGCACCAGCTTGCATTCCCATGAACGTTCTTTTTTTATTCAGATTTTATTTTTAAGCCCTCTCTGCACCTACCGCGGGGCTCGAACTCACAATCTCGAGATCAAGAGTCACATGTTCCGCCCACCCAGCCAGCCAGGTATCCCTCACTGTAGTTTCGATATATATTAACCCCTTATCAGATATATCATTTATTGTTTATTTTTTTATTTCATTAATTTTTGCTCTACTCTTGATTTTTCTACCCTTCTCCATTCTTTGGGTATATTTTGCTATTCTTTTTTTTTTTTTTTTAACTCCTTCAGATGGCTACTTAACTCATTGCTTTTCAATTTTTCTTCTTTTCTAATGTATATATTTAAGGCTATGAACTTTCTTCTACATACAGCTTTAACTGCATTCCATCAGTGTTGATAGGTAACTCTTTGTTATAGTTTGGTTTTAAAATATTTTATAAATTCAAAATGTTGTCTCTCTGTTTTAATCTGAGAGGGAGAGCGACTGTGCTGTGCATGCACAAGTTGGGGAGGGGCAGAGAGAGAGAGAGAGAGAGAGAGAGACTCCTAAGCAGAGCCCGACACGGGGCTGGAACTCACCAACCCTCAGGTCATGACCTGAGCTGAAGTCGGATGCTTAATCAACTGAGCCACCCAGGTGTCCCGTGTATCTTATTTTTTTGTTAAGATTTTATTTTTAGGTAATCTCTACACCCAATGCAGGGCTCAAATTCACAACCCTGAGATCAGGAGTCACATGCTCCACTGACTGAGCCAGCCTGGCACCCCCCAAAAAATCTCTATCTTAGAATTAATGATATATGTTGGTCCCTATGGCTATTGTCTCCCTGCCTAGCCTCCCAATTACAGACAGAGGGGTATTCAGATCTATGACTGAGCGCTTTTCTGATGCTCTTTGTAGCGCTCTCAATTTTTTTTTCTTTTTATATATTGAGGGCAGGTCATTAGATGCATAAATACTTAGGATTAGTCTGTTTTCCCAGTGAATGTTACCTTTTATCATTATGAACGAACCCCCTCCCTTTACCTCTTAGTGTTTCTTTCGGCCTGAAATTCTGTCTGATCTTATTATTAGTACAGTACCCTTGTTTTCTTCTGGCTTGCGTTTGTAGTTTATCTTTTCCCAGACTTTTACTTTCAATCTTTCTGTTTTCTCATGTTCTATAAACGTCTTGTGGTCACCCCCAGCCCCTCCCGCAGGGAATTCGGAATGTTTTGCTTAAAAGGGAGTGATTAAAACCAGCCCCTTGCCATGACTCTCTGGGACACCAGCTTCTCCTGGAGTCTTCGCCCTACCCCTCCTCCCCGACTGCTCTGCAGGCAGGGATGTGGTCCAGGCGGCGGGGAGGACAATCGTCCCCACGGGGCAGCTGGCCCGGGAGTCACCAGCACGGCCCCTGGAAGGCTGCTCCCGGCATGGTTGCTTGCTCACTGTGGGAGTGGGGAGTCTACAGATGAGCAATCTCTGGGCACCAGGGTGCTTGCTGCCACTGGGTGTCATGACCCCTGGGTCCTCTCCACGGACAGCAAGGACACAGGCGTGTGTGCTAACTCACACACATCTACAAAATACTCTTAGCCGGATCCGTATTAAGCTGAACATGGGTTCGTGTTCTAATCCGTGACCACATGAATCATTCCGGCCTCACTCCCCCGCTCATCTGCCCACTCCCCACCCCAACAGAGAGAAACCGCACCCCCCTGGCCGTCCCCCACTTGCTTAAATTGTCAATTGTAGCAGACGTGCACGGTGGTCTCGGAACTGTTAACAGTACATCCGTGGGACGCAATCAACAAGAACGTGGCGCTTTGTTTCTTTTGCCTTTAGTTGTAAAGATCCCGCTAGTTTCCGAGTTACTTGTGTCGGCATCGACCCCCGTCCTGCAAGTGCAGTGATTTCATACATTCAAAATGTAGTTACAGTCTCTGGTTACGTTCCTCATCCCGTCCTGGGGTCCCCTGACCTCCGAGATGACACGTGGTTTTCAGTTTGCCTGCACGAAGGTTCGCTCTGCTCTAAGTGTCACGCGTCCACCATTACAGTGCCACACAGCATCGGTTCACACCCCGAAACGCCTCCTGTAACTTCTTGACCGCGTGTCTTCTCTCTTGCCTTGGTTTGGAGTCGTCGCCTTCGTTTCGTTTTGTCCTTCCGGTCACTTGGCAGTTGTTACACGGTTTTTCTCTTTGGTGGCTTAGAAAACATTTGTCCTTGACTTAGCGGCAGCTACCACGAGCTGGCGCTCTGTCCTTTACCAGCACAACGCGAAGGCCGCGCGCGGTGCAGGCTAACCCCAACCCCACCGTCTCTGACTCTGGAGCCGCTGAGTCACAAGTCCCAATTCCCGCATTTTAAACACCACGAGAAAGAAGCCCCGGGGGGCGGCTCAGTCGGTTGGCGTCGGAGTCTTGATTTCAGCTGAGGTCATGATCCTAGAGTCGTGGGCTCGAGCCCTGCATTGGGCTCTGTGCTGCGTGTGGAGCCCGCCTAAGATTCTCTCCCTCTCCCTCCCTCCGCACCCTTCTCCCCAGCTTGTGCGCACGCTCGCGCGCTCTCTCTCTAAAATCAAAACACCCCACCATGAGACATCATCACTTTTGTTTTCTTTGTCCTGTTCTTGTTTTTTCTTTTTCTTATGACCCAAGATCACCCCACACGTGAGTCGGCCGGTGGTGGTCTCAGTTTGGCGTTGTCTGAAGACACCTTTATCTTACCTTCATGTTGGAAAGACGCTCTCGCCGGGCGCCGCATCCCAGACTGGCGGGGAGGCAGCATCCACCCCGTGGGCTTCCGCGTCGCGGGTGGGACGTGGGCGCTGGTCTGCCGCTCCCTCGAGAGCCCGCTGTCTTGATTTTCTGGTTGCTTCCAAACGTTTTCTCTTCGCTTGCGCCTTTCTGCAGACTATTTTATTTCCCCGGGCTTGCGGAATCTGTGGACCGAATCTGTGGACCGCTGGTTTTCACGTCTAGAGAATGGCGAGCTGGTTCCTCCAGGTCGTCCTTCGGCGTCTCTCCCCTCCCAGGACTCCGGTCGGCCGGCCGCCCGCTTCTTCGTGCGGACCCGTGTGCTCCTTCCTGCAGTTTCCACCACTTGCCCCCCCCCCCCCCCCCCCGCCGTGTCCTCCCCTCCCCCCCGCCGTGGGATCTGCCAGCCCGGCGAGTCCGCCCGCGGACACCCTAACGCCGCTCACTCCACTCGGCCCCTTTCCGATCGTGCCAGGTCTGTTTTTGTGGCTTCCAGCGGGAGAACTGGCCAGGCTGAGTCTCGGAGTTCAAGGCTAAATCTCCTGACTTCACTTGCAGAAGGTCTGGATGCAACAGTTTGCGTTGTCTTGGCCTTTTTACCTGAGGTAAGAGTCTTGCTGTATCGGCAGTAATGACCTTCCTATGCCCCGCCTCCCAGCCCTGACGGGGTGGGGGTGGGGGTGGGGGTGGGGGTGGGGGCATCCTTTAACACCTGTGGCAACTGAACCCCCTTCAACGTCCTCGGGTCCCGCTTTATTAAACCCCCTAAAACCGAGTTTTCTTCGGCCGGCCTCCTCTCCCCCAAAAAGCAAACACCAAGACATCCCGACAACAAAGACCACGTCGTTTATTTACAAAGGCCAGTGTGGAGGTTGGGGAGGTCAGGAGGGAGAGCCACACACACCCTCTCCGGATTGCTCAGGACACTTTCCCACTCGGGAGACAATTGTGCCCCTCGCGCCTCCATATTCTCGGCCACGGGTCCTCCGAGCAGCTGCGTGAAGCCGCAGAGAGAAGAGGCAACAGGAGCCTCCCCTGCGCTCGATATAGCAACGTCCAATTCCACACCAAAGGCGTCGCCGCTGCCCTCTCCTTCCCTTCCTCAGATAGAACTCTCTGGCCTGGAAGGAAACGGTGAAGGATCCAAAGGCCGGGGCTGCAGGGGTAGGGACCCCTCTACTGTTCCCCGACAGCTTCAGGACCACACTGCCCTTGGGGTGCCCGGTGCCCAGAGGCCCAGGACCTAGCTCCCTGGACTGTGTGCACTCCTGCCCTGGACCAGCCCTCCTGCCTACCTCTCTCTGGTGGGAGACAGCTCGGAACCAGAAACCAACCAGGAATCCGCCGTCCTGTGCCACTCGAGTGTGTGTGTGTGTGTGTGTGTGTGTGTGTGTGTGTGTGAGTGAGTACCCACCGCATACACACCCGCTGCTGAGACAGACCCCAATCCCTTCGTGTCTCGTGAGGGGGACTGAGACCCCGGTACCTGGGGATGCAGGCGAGTCCTGGAAACGGAGCCGGCAGGAGCCCCCGTGAACCGTGTCGCTTGGCTTCCCTGAGCCCTTCCTGCGGCTCAGACCCCGTTAGCATCTCCAGGGCCCTCTGCCAGGCCTGAGCCTGGACCCCGCCTAAGGGAGCTCCGTGGGGCCTCCACTCCCAAAGTGTCCATTCCGGGTTCCAGCCGCTGAGCCTGTGACTCAGTTCGTTTTCCCGTCCCCCTCCTCCAGAAAATCTCCTCCCTCCTTTGCACCCAACTCCATCGGGCCGGTCCAGGGCTCGGTTCCTCACACAGAGGGTGATGTCTGGTCTCCCCCTTCGGACGGGACATCCCAACAAAGCCTGGATGAAGGGACCAGGACGGGGGGGGGGGGGGGGGGCGGGGGGGTGGAAAAGAGAGCCTGTCCCCACCCCCCCCAACCGCCAGCCCTGCTTCAGTGTGTGGTCCCAGCAGGGGTGAGGCTGCAGGTGGAGAGAGAGACAGAGGAGTCGCCACAAGTAACCAGACAACAAGCAGAGCCCTAGAGGCACACACGAAGACCCCGCCCCAGTCCCTCCTCCCACCCAGCATGGCCAGGCCACCGCCACCAGAGGTCTACAGGCTGTGCCAGGAGGCGGTGGGGCCAGGAGCTGGGGCCGACCGGCGACACTGTGAAAACCACTTGAACGGCCCTGCTGGAGCAGGGCCCAGAGCAAAGACTCCATAAGAGATGTACAAGTAAACCCAAAATGCGCAGGGCACTGGGGCGAGGCCCGTGCCCCTAAAGTCACCCTGCTGTCTGGAGAGGACGGGGCGGGGAGATGGGGCGGCAGGCAAAGGGCAGGGGCCGACAGAGGAGCCAGGCGCTGGCGCCCAGGGAAGGGAGAGGCAGGAGGCGCGGCCGGGGGGTTAGGAGAGTTGCGAGCCCAGGAGTCTCTCGATGGCTGCGTTGACGTCCCCTCCTGTGGCGATCAGGGCCTGCAGGTTAGCTTCACGGTTGATGAAGCCCATGGAGTTGAGCTGCTCCAGCTGCTGCTGGAACCGTACTTCCGGCGTCGTCTGCACCTGCAGAGGACGGGCCCCTCTGAGTCTGAGGTTTACGGCGCAGAGCAGATGACCAGTAGGTCTTCTCCAGCATCCTCAGACCCAACCAGTGGGCAGGGAAGGGTGAGCCTCAGACAGGGGTCACGGAGCCTGCACCCCACATCGGTCAACGACTGTGTAACAGAAGGTGGGGGGTGTCTTTCTGAACATTTCGAAGTAACAGACGGGCCCAGAGCAGCCTATATTCCTAACCACTTTCTGTCCCTGGAGAGGTTAACGGCGCTCCAGAAGCCAAATGGTGTGTGCTCGGTAAGACGCACGGTCTGCACAAAGTCCACCCCCAGCCCTGCCCCCGCAGTCTTCAAGCAGGGAGCCAGGGGAAAGGCCAGGGAAGGGCCCCAGGAAAGAAGGAACCTGTTTGATCACGGTTAGCCAATCAACAAACACCATTATTTACAGAAGAGAAGGCTTTTCGTGTCTGACACTCCTATATACATCTCCTGGAAATGCTTTCCCAAAGGATGTGCAGGAAGCACTAGCCTTGGTCATGAAGGAGCCCAGCAGTGACAGGCCGCCCGGCCTCTGATAGGGTGAACGCACTGTCCCCAGAAGGAAAGGATGTGCGGAGGGTCACAGAAGCCCCCTAACGTGCAGCACGAGAGCCTTCTCCAGGGTTGGGTGCTGCTTCTCCTCACGGTCCGCAGGATCTAAGCCGGACTGGACCTTCCTTGGTGACTCTTGGTCCAACCCTTCTACAGGGTTCTGTAGAACAGAGCCTTCTGCAGAGCTGGGCACGCTTACGCTTCTGTCAAAAGGGTCCTCCCAGACGAGTTAGGGAAGCCAGAGAAAGGTTAAGGGCCTCACCTGAGGTCAACCCTACTCCTCACCCAATCCCCTAGCCTTGACTTTGCAACACAGGGTTCTAGTTACCTCGTCCCCCAGAACCCTCCGCGCTAGTCTTGGAGGCGGAGGCTGATTTAATCACCAAAGGACCCTGTGATAGAAGGAAGCAGCGGTAGGACGTGGTGGTTAAGGTGTGTAAACTCAGGAGCCAGCATACCTTGGCCTCATTACTTACTGGCTGCGTGACTCTGAGCAAGCCACTTACCCTCTCTGGGCCTCAGTTTCCCCCTTTTATAACACAGAGATAGCAGCTTCTTTCCAAGGCCGTTGTGAGGAGTGGAGCGAATGTGCTCTCGCACACGAGGCATGAGAACGGCCCCCAGAGCCCGATTAAGTTCTATCATTACTCTCGTCTCCATCGCACAGCCGCAAAAGCCAACGTGGAGAAGGCCGCAACCGGCCCAAGGCCAGCAAGGGGCAGACCAAGCCCTGCGGGCGGCGGTCCGGCTGGCTCCAAACCCTCTCTGCCTCTCCAGGCTGCCGCCACCCCCCACACCGGCCCCGCAGCCCCGCGTACCTGGGAGTTCCCGCCCCCTGCCAACAGCTGGACCATCTGCTGCATGAGGTGCTGGGGAGCATTGGGAGCCCCCGCTGGAGAAGGCGTGGCGGGGGGCGCTGGCGAGGAGGTGGGGGCCTCGGGCGCAGACCCAGTGTCGCTGCCTGCCGGGGCCGCCGGGGTCCGGGACATCCCGAAGGAGCCAAGGCTGCAGGCAGGAGAGACCAAGAGGTGGGAGGCAGCCTCTGAGAAAGGGATGGCAACGTGAGGTCCAGAAGGCGGAGCGCACAAGCAGGAGAGCAGACCCTCAGAGCGGCAGGGCGGGGCCTGGCGCGGAGGCGGAGCCAGAGCCTTGTGCCCCTCCCCCCCGCCCCCGGCCCCGCCCTCACCTGGGAACCAGCCCAGGGGCCTCGGTCTGCAGGGTCTGCAGGCCCTGCTGGATCTGCAGCAGGGCCTGCATGGCGCGGGGGTTGGTGAGCACGGACAGGGACTCCGGGTTCTGCATCTGGCGGGAAACAGGCAAAGGAAGGCAGTGGTGGCAGGACGCAGGCGGCCACCCGGAGCTCTGCTCTGCCTCCCCCCCCCCCCCCCCCCATGCCCCGTGTCCCTGGCCCCCGAGAGCCTCACCCACCTGCTGCAGGAAGACGGGGAGCTGGAGGCGGAGCTGCTCCTGCAGCTGGGGGTTCCCCGCAAAGAGCGGCACGTTCACCATCATCTGCGGGGTGAAGGCGGGAGGGAGGCCTGGGCCCACCCGCCCTCAGAATCCCGGCGGCCTGTCTCCCTCGGCACCCCCACCGCCGTGGGAGATCTGGGTCCCCGTGCATCCCGAAGGCCTCCCGGGGGCAGTGAGAGGAGACGGAACCGCGCTCCGGGCCTCGGGCCAGGGCTCGCAGCCCCGCGCCTGGCATTGACGGTGTCCCCAAGTACAGGGCGCACTGGGCACCACGCCACGTTCCGGGCGCTCTACTCGTATGAGCTCACGGCGCCCCCCGGGACGCCGTGAGGGAGGGGCCACGGCCACGGCCACGTACAGGTGAGCAAACTGGGAGGCTCGGGACCGGCTGAGCTCACGCAGCTTGGGGGCTGGGACGGAGACACTAGCCCAGGCCGTCTGGCTCCGGCGCCTCCCACCCACTGCGCAGGACCTGCCCCCACACTGCGTACCTGAGCAGCAAAGTCGGGGTTCTGGGCCAGCGTCTGCATCATGCTGCGCATGTAGGGGGCAGAGATAACGTTCTGCATCAGCTGCGGGTTTTCAGAGATCTGCTGGAGGAGAGCCTGCATCTCGGGGCTGTTGAACACTCCTAGCACAAGGAGGAAGACAAGGACAAAAGGGTCCAGATGGAAACCAGATGCCTGCCCCTCTTCCATCTCCCTTACTTCCAACGTTGAGCCGTTAGGGAGCTCAGAGGGGCGACGAAAAGCCGCCCCCAGTTCAGGGGTGTGGGCCCCAGCTCTGGCCTTGCTTCGGCCCGGCCCCTCTCCCAGCTGCTCTACGGACAAGCAGGTTGGAAACTGGGTCTCATTTGCGCCCCCCCTGCCCGCCCCTCCCCGGGGCCGTTCCAGGAAAGGGTCTGACGGAGGTCACATAGGCTCGTGGTTGGCAGTCTTTCTTAGTGGCAGAGGCCCTTTCCTCAAACCAGATGTCACTCCGAACCAAGTGTGACAACGGACTGGCTGGAACCCCTCCCACTCAGTCCTTTCTCCTTCTGGGGAAAGTCCAGACCTCCGGACTCAGGAGTACAATTTGAAAGCCACAGGTCATAAGGGGACTGGAGCACACAGAGGGGAAGGGACTCTCCTGATCAAGGTGCCGCCCCCTCCCCCCCGGCGGACATGGGGGCCCGGGGGCGTGTCTGGTGGCGGCCCCGGGGTCACATGTACGGTCACAGTCCAGATAGTGGGGCCTCCCCAAGGGTTGTGCACAGCCCGCCCCTGTCTGTCCATGGCAAGTCCACACATCCTTCTCCCCCGGCCTCACACCTGCCTGTCCCTGGGAGCGCCCGCTTCCTCCCACACCCACTTCCCCAGGTTGACCCATTTGCCTGGATGGCACCAGCAGTGCTGAGCGCTTCGGAGTGGGGCCTGCTTTACTCTGTGCCGTCACTCAGGCTGCTCCAGGGACGTCAGGACACAGCCCAAACCACCCCTCATCCCAAGGGGGCAGAGCTTCTGCCCCAGGCTGCAGACCCCCCCCTCCGGGGCTTCAGTACAGGCTCACCTGTCTTCAGGAGGCTGCAGCAGTGCGAGCCCCATTCAGTCCTGGGGCAGAGGGACTACCCTGGTGACCCCACTAAGCTCCTTCCAGCCCAGGACATACCTGACCCCAGGCTAGCCGCATTGATCCCAAAGGGGTTGGAGACTGTCGGGTGCACCTGGCTGGTCCCCGATCCTCCGGTGCCCTCCCCCCCGGACCCGGGGGCCTGGGAGGTGGGGGGCGAGGGGCTCCAGGGGTTAGGGAGGGGCTCTCGGTTCTCAGTCCGCAGAGGCTGGGAGGACGAGCTGTCGGAGTTCCCGGCCAGGGAAGAGAAGGGGTTGTTGCCAAACTGGGAGGAGGGAAAGGTTCTGGGTTAAGGACCGAAACAAACCAGGGTGAGGGCTGGGCCCCCCGCGCCTGCCTCTCACCTAGCAGCCTCCCCTCCCTGGGAGAGGGAGGGGGTGGGAGGTCCCGGAGGCCCTCAGCTCCAGTTCTGGCCTAGAGACGGGGCAGCCACACCCTCACCTTGCAGGGTGGGAGGTGGCCAGTGCAGGAGCGGCCAGGGGATGACAAAACCCCTCAGGTAACTGGAAACTTCCCACCTTCCCCGAGGGCTCCAAAGACTTGGTCTCTAGTCTCCTTTGTGCCCTGTGGTACTTTACACACACCTTCTCATCGCGTAAGGACACATATGTCTTCCTCGGGTCTTCAGGGGCACAGGCAAGGTCACCTTTGCACCCCACCTGTCCCCTGACACTAGTAGGTGCTCAATAAATAATTGTTGGCTTGAGGGGAGCTGGCTCTCTACGTCAGCCCTGGGCTGCCTCTAGGCGTCCCCCTGTCCAGCCGTCTTGGTCCAATAGGACCTCCCCAGAAGCCCAGGTCCTCTTCATGGCATCCTGTCCCTCCAAGCCCACGCAGGGGAGCCCCTCAGGGGCACTCATCTCCGGCTGAGCGTGCCCTCCTTCCGCTGCTTCCCCCGCACAGCTTTCTCCTCGGCCTCCTTCCTTCAGCTACATAGGCCCCCTCAGCACCAGGCTGCCTGCTGTCCCCCAGGATGGCCTCAGGGTCGGCACCCCATCACATGGCGTGCTGCCCAAGGTGGCAATGGAACTTCCTCTGGATCCCCCGGCACCCAGGCAAGAGCTCTGTCCAGCACTGTGCTCGCTGAGGGAGTCTGTGCCCTATTTCCCTGCTCCAGCCCCCCATCCTGAGGTCCTGGGTGGTCCTCAGCTGCACAGCTTCAGCCCCTTGTCACCGCGGGGTCTCCTGCTCATTCAGAGCAGGTCGTGGGGACCAGAGCCAGCCAAGGCCCTCCAGCTCTGAGCCGGGCTTCCTCCGCCTTACCAGATGCCTGCTGGGATGACAGCCAGCAGGCCGGGGTCTGTGTACCCCAGCCTCAGGCTTTGTCCCTGTTTCACACTTCCCGTCCTGGTAACTCGCCTGGCACCCACCACCGCTGAGTTCTGGGCCCCCTAGTTTTCCCCGTGCTCTCTATGGACTGAATCTCTTTCTGACCACCCTCGGGCAAGCACAGCTGCCATTTATTGAGCACCTACTATGTACCAGGCATGTTTCTTCTAATGTTTACAGTAGCCCTCCAATGTACCAGTTCTCAAAGTGTGGTCCTGGGACCCTTGCAAGGCTTAACCCTGGTTTTAGAATTCTGAGATGCTATTTGCCTCTTTTCACTCTTGTTGTTTTCATGAGTGTTCAGTGGCGTTTTCCAGAGGCTATGTGACATGTGATACTGCACCAGACCGAGCGTGGAAGCAGAATTGGGTCCCACAGCAAGCCAGACGGCAAGGGAGTCTGCAAAAGTTAGAACAAGGCCGCTCTCCTCTCAAGTTTTGTTTTCGAAAATTATTTTTTAAGCGAATGTGCTTTTTATATTAATGTGTAGGGTATTTACTGTCGTTTTAAAACGAATTAATCAACCTTCTGTAAGTTTCTCGGTCTTCATTTCAGATACAGTGGCTATCAAGAGACCCAACCCACAAAAAGAAAACGTTTTTGAGGTCCTCAATAATTCTTAAGGGTATAAAGGGGTCCTGAGGCCGAAAGAGTCAAGCATCACCGCTTTATTATATCACTTCCATTTTGAAAACACGGACGCTAAGACTCAGAAAAGTTAAGCAGCTAACTTAAAACTGCGCCACTAAAAATGGGCGTTAGGTATTTGAACCCAGGTTTGCCGACGCCAAAAGTCTGTTCTTTTAGTTATTCCAATGGTTCTTACGATTTAGCCTGCATCAGAGTTAGCCGGAGGGCTTGTTATAAGCCTTTCTCAGCTCCTTGTTTTTTTTTTTTTTTTTTAACCAGATGCATGCATTACTTGGATATACGTTTTTAATTAAATACTTAAATAAAACTTAAACAAATTCCTTTAAAAACTCATAGTTGATCCCGACAAGCACGTTCTAAGATTTGCAACAGCATTGCCAAGAATAACCAAGAAGATGCAGGAGAGCAAGGTGAGGGGTTTGCTCTACCAGATGCCCAGGCTTAATTAGGACAATGTGGTATCACCGCAAGGACAGACAGACCGACCGGCGGGCCCGCGCACAGTCAGCTAGACTCACACCTATTTGTGGAGATTTGGTGTAGGACGGAGGCGGCATGAACAAGGAAATCTTTAGGGACAGCACAGACCACGCAGGACGTGGTGCTCTCGTCCACGAGGAGAAAGGAACAGGAGAGCCCACCCTCCCGCCTGGGCCCTGGTTTGGGGTGTGTGTGTGTTCAGTTCGTGAAACTGCATCAAGCTGCACACTTGTGATATGTGTCCCTTTCTGAAGCCATGTTATTCTCCAAGAAAGGTATTCGTAAGAAATGTTTTTAAAAAGCAGGTTAAAATTATATGAACAGCAGGACGCCACTTCTAGGAGGTTTAAAAATATGCAAGACAATACTCTACATTATTTACGGATACAAACATAGGCCATAAAAGAATCAAGGCGGTAAACACCAGCTTCTCAGTGGCAGTCAGCTCTGCAGAGGGAAGGAGCTGTAAACTGGGGCAGGGCTGCATGAAGCTACACTTCTTTCTGTAAAGCCTTACTTGCAAGTATAAGATACGCCCAGGAAATTATAAAAAACACTCACAGTAGTCACCTCTGAGGTAGAAAAGAGGTGGCTGGGAGATGGAACCAGAAGGAAGGATCCCCTATTGTTTACTTTGTAGAACTTCGGAACTTTGAAGTGTGTAAATATTTGTATCACGTACTTAGTGTAAATTAAACTTAAAAAAGAAAAAAAAAAAGAACCCAAAAGGCACTGACCCTACATACAGGGACGTGAAAGGATGCTGTACTTTAGTCTACACTTCTCACATATTTGGAAGAATCCATAAGGTACTTTTCAAAGTGCATATTCCCAGGGCCTGATTCCAGAGATTGAGTCAGGAAGAGGCTCGAAGGTGGGAACCAGGAATCTGACGATCGGCGAGCCCCCCCCGGGTGATTCTGATGCAGGTGATCCAAGGACCACACTTGAGACACGCTGCCGGCCCCACGGCCCCTGAGCCCCCGGGGCAAGAAGTTGTCGGACGCTTTGCACGCTACACCCCGCCCGCGTCCCTGGGGAATTCTGCTACCTTCCACCCTGCTGCCCCGCCCCGTGCCAGGCTGGACCACCCCCGCATGTACTGTGAGAACCGCTCTCAAGCCAAGGCCCACTGTCGGAGGGCTGCGTAGGCAAAGAGGCTGACTTGGATCCGGGGATAGGGAATCCTGAGCCCAAACAGCCCTCCCACAGCCCAGCCCCTGGTCCCACCTGTTCCCGGGCAGCACTGAACATCGGCTCTTGGATGTCTGTGTACATGCGGCGGAGGGCGTTATACCCTCCAGGGATGCTCTCCAGGTTGCTCAGGGCCCGGTCCTGGTTCCGCATCATTTCTTGCATCATGGCTGGATTTCGAGCAAGCTCCATGGTCTGGTGGAGAAGGGAGAGAGACAGGAAGAACCCCAGAACCAGGGGGGGCACCAGGCTTGGCCGGGGGTGGGCCCTGAGGAGGAGGTCTGTCCCAGGACTAGGGTCCAGGGCCCAGGAACTGCCCCACAGCGGCAGGGTGGCAGGTAAATTCCTCCCTCTACTGTCATCTTGGCTCTGTCCCTGCCTGCAAGGGTAGTCTGCGGGGCTTTGTGCTGCGGTACGACGACCCAGGGGTGGGGGGGTGAGGACAGCAGCTTCTCTTCCTCAGGTTCAGGAGGCCCTCGAACCTGAGGCCCTCGGACGTACAGGGAGCAAAAGGAAACTGGTAGGAAAGGACACGAGGAGGAGGAAGCAGAGGAGAGTAACATCTGAGCACCTATGATACACAGGCACCCAGCTAAGTAATTCACACAACGGAAGTCACGCGCTCCCCATGATAACGGTCCCAAGGAGATATTTCTGTCCCTATTCTGCAGATGAGGAAATAGGCTGAGATTCACTGGGGACACACAGCCGGTTAGTGGTGGGGCCAGGTTTTGAGGCCAGATCACTCTGTCTGTCCAAGACCACACTGCGGTTCCTGGAAGATGACCATAAGTTGGGGACGGAAAGGATTCACGTTGGGGCGACACGACCAGCACTCTCTAACCCCACCCCCAGGTCTCCGGCCTGGCCAAACCTTGAGAAACCCGTGGACGGGATGGGGGCTCACTCTCAATAAGGGCTGGCCTGTGTCAACTCCAGGGGACAGCAGTGCATGACGGGGGACAAAGGGCACCCTGCCTGGGATGCCTTCCCTGTCCCTACTCCCAAGTCCCTCCACAAGTGCTCACTAAAGCACCTTTACGTCTAAGACGGGACCCTGACTCCTTACCCCATAATTCACTCATTCTCTAAGTGTTTCCGGAGTGACTTCCACACACCAGGAGCCATTCTAGGCAGGGAAGAAAACACCCGCAAGTCCTTGCTCCGAAGGCACTTATCTCCAGGGGAACCCAGCACCGGTGCCCACGGCTCCGCTGACGTCATCTCTCCTCTTCCCCCGGGGGACTGGGCCGTGAGACAGGGCTCCCGAAGCCCGACACGCCGCCGCTGCCGGGCGTCCTTCGGCCACCAGCCCTGCCCGGCCCAGCCACGACGCTCCCCGAACGCCCTACACCCAGGCCTTTGCACGTGCTGTCCCTCAGGCCTGAACACTCTCCTCTTTTTCTTCCTCTGGCTCATGATTCCTCCTCTGGGTCTCAGCGTGGCTGACACTTCCTCCAGAGCCTCCTCTGAGCGCTCCCCACCTCCTCCCCGGGTAGGGCCAGGAGCCCTTCTCTTAGGGGATCCCGCGACTATGACATCACCAACCACGCCACGTTACTACTGCGCGCTTGCTTGTCCCATTTCCTTTTGAGACCAGAAGTTCCTGGAAAGCTAGGCCTGTGCCTTGTCACTACACCCCCAGTGCTCCAAACAGGGCTGCTGGATGAGTAAGTCACCAAATAAGCCAAGGCAGGGCGAGGTGGGAAAAGTCCCACCGGTGTCTTGTCCGTCCCCACCCCAACCTTCTCTCACACCCACCTGCCTCATGAGCTCCGGGTTGTTGAGCATGTGGCTGATCTCAGGGTTCCGCTCCATCAACTGCTGCATCTGGGGGTTGGCCATGATCATGTGGCGCATCAGGTCGGGGTTAGACATCATGTCCTGGACCAGGGGGTTCTCCATGATCTGCGACAGCATCTCGGGGTTGGACATCAGCTGTCTCTGCATTTGCTGCTGCAGCTCCATGAAGTTGGCGGAGCCCAGGCCCAGGCTGCCCAGGCCCAGGAGGCCCCCAAAGCCAGCTGCGGGGAGGGGCCAGGGTCACGGCCGGCCGCAAAACCCTGCCCCCACCTGGCCACGGCCGCCGAATGCAGGCCTCCCCGCGATGGGCCCTGTCTGTTTCTGGCATCTCCCCTTTCCAACCCTTCCGCGGGCCCAAGCCCTGGCCCGCTGCCGGCAGAGACGGGAGCCCAGCAGACCGAGACCTCTCTGGAAGCCGAGGCCGAGAGCCGGGCACGGCACTGAGCAAAGAGACGGCGACCAGCGATGGCCCGCTGAATGAGCCGAAACACTCCCCAGCTGGCTGCTGCTGGACACACTCCGTCCCCAAACTCCAATATCCTCACCCCGCATTCGCCACGTCCGCAACCTCATTTCTCCCGTCCCCTTAACGTTCACCCATGCTCCCCTCCTCCGGGAGGCCCTCATAGACGGATGTCCTCCCCTGCTCCGCTCAAGCAGCAATGTCTGGAACCCTATGTCCAGGGGTTCCCTGTCCCCATCAGACCAGGAGCAGGGACCATGTTTCTGCCTCCTCTTGGCTCCCCCCGCGCCCTAGCCCAAAGCAGGACCGTGACCTCCTCCCTCAGGGCTTACAGAGTATGGATGCAGTAGCGCTGGGGGGTCCCTCCCCAGCCCCTGGGGAGGGCCCCCCCCCCACTGCTCCTCCGGCTTCCGCTGCCGGCATCCGAAGTGGCGCTGCCAGAGGTGGAGGGCTGGGCCGGGGCGGCGGGTGAAGCGGGCGTGGTGGAGGGTGCCGAGGCAGGGTCTGGAGTGGAGGGGGAAGAAGCAGTGGTGGCAGCTGGATCTAGAGCCCTGAGGACAGAGAAATGAAGTCCCAGCTGAGGGGAGCCCCAGAGGGAAGACGGTGATCTCAGAGGAGGACTTTCGGTGCCTCTACTACCCTATCACAAGCCACCTCCTGAGCAGCCCTCAGGCGGGGGTGCGGTAATGCTGGGGGCAGTTAGTAGTTCAGGCCGAGGGAGAAGCTAGCACCAGCTGCCTCCGGGGCATTCTGGGAGAAGTGAGTCCCATCCCCTCCCCTGGTAGGGCTTGCCAATTCTTCCCGGACCTCGGCAGGGACCTCCAGGTACAGGTGGGTGACGGGTGAGACACCGGGGGGGAAAAGAGGCCTGATCAGAAGTTGGATGTGCTCCTCTCCTGGACTTACTTCTGAGGGGTCTTGATGACCAGATGGACAGTGAGCCCATCCTTGATCCCATGCTGGTTCAGGGTGTCCCCATCCTTGAGGATCTTGCCTGCGAAGATCAGGACCAGCTGATCCTGCTGAGCCTTAAACCTCCTGGAGATCTCCTCTTTGAACTGTGGTCAGGAGGCAGAAGTCACTGAGGAGGCTCCTGGGCTCCACCCACCAGGGACCCTGCCTC